AAAAAAAAAAAAAAGGACTTTTTTATCGAGTGTGAGAAGGTGTGTTCTCAGCATATTGTTTCACCATTGGTGTCTTGGTTTTTAGTTTTTAAGGCGTTTGTTGAGCGCTGTGCCTGTTGTCTTATATTGTAGCCTGCAGGACCCACAGTACATACATAGGGTGATAACTGCGCTGACCCAGCAAACCACAACATTGGCCACACATCTGTAAATTGTACAACGTGTCATAGATTATTTTAAATTCCATGCCTCAGTGAATGGGACAGTTTGGGAGTACGTGGCGAAAGCTCCGCTTCAGGTGGAGTGGATTTCTCCTGCAAGCTGGTGTCTGATCAAAAAACACTGTCAATCAGTCTTCAGTTGAAAGGCCAGTGGAGGATACAGAGCTGGAGTGGGAGACAAGCGAGCAGAAAACCCACCTGCTATCGGACATATCAGGGTGACTCCCCTGTGAGAGCTCCTCCCCTTCCAGCCCCTGCTGAGCACAGGAGCAGGGAAACCCCGAGCACAGACCTCCAAGGAGTCACAGCTTCTCCTGCACCTTTGCCAACCAGAGAATCACGATCACTTGACAAGTGAGTGAGAGACATTATCAGAAGGTTGGTTCTTCCTTCAGGAGAAAAAAAACCAACCGCACATTTTATATATTACATTATATGTGATTGTGTACAATTTGCTGATACCCTGATGATGGTGTCCATGTATGGAATATTTGGTATTTGGCTTTCTCAAGATGGCATGAAATAAAATGTATAATTCACAGAGTTACCTCTGTTTTTGCAACTGTCGTGACAAATCCACTCTGTAGTTTCATCCTCTCACCTGCGATTTGGTTTTACATGTATCTCCATACAAATCATGGATTTCGGTTCCTTTTAACCTCTTGATCGGTTCACACATGTCAGTGCCAAGATTCTCAGTGGACAAACTCAACATCATCATATCGACTATGCTACCAGGTTTAGCAGCTATTCACTGAGGGCAATAAAGTGAAAGGTAGTAGCAAACGATCAATCTTAATAAACCACTCCTGGCATTTACCAAATTACCAAATTACTTTTTCTAGTCCATCCAGAATACCAAATGCAGATCATCAGGTATTGTTCTAGTTGTTTTTTTTTTAAATGTGCCCTGATTTCTATTCTTTTATGATTTATTTCAGTCTTTTTTTCAACATGAATGAAAAAAAAAAAATGTTCCGATGCAATTGTGGTAGGTCAAGGGCTCATTATTTCCTGTAATAACTAACGTCATGCTGATGGTTTGTATTTGCCACAGGTCTTTTTACCTTTTCAGTTTGAAGATCGAAGTGACATATACGTATATAATTATATCTTTGTATGTGTCATCATCAGGGTTTCTGGAGAACACGAAACATACATGTCCAAAAATATAACAATATGACAACTATATTAAGTGGAAAAACACACACAGGTCCATACTGTTACTGTTTTGTCAGTTTGATGTGTGGTATCACATGGCATTAAGTTCAATTAAGACTTTAAAACAGTAAACAAAAACCTATGTTAAATGCAACATGTTCAAGAGGGGCAATAACTTGTTTTCTTATTACAGAAAGAATAGAGAACTATATATATATATATATATGTATATGTAAAGATCTTTACGTACATTCTCATTTTTACATAGGAAATATTTCACAAATATGCCACAAGGATACTTGGAAGTCATTTTTTTTAATTTACAGTATCTGTAACTATGTTATGTACAGGTGAGGTCTAGATATGAAAAAGTTGTATAAAAATAAGTATCACATTTGGAACACCTGAACATTTTTGGAGCCATTAGTTGTTATGGGGAGGGAGGGGATTTGAAAAACATTCTTCTTTTGTTGTCTGAATGTTATGGACAGCCTTTACTTTTCACATCATCGTTAAATAAAGTGAGACTGAAAATAATGCGATGTTTGTGTTATCTTATCGTATAAACCTGTCACTGGCCTCGCATTTTACACTGATTTTTTTCCGCCCTCTCATTCTGATATCTACTTGTTACCGTTTTCAAAATCTGTTTCACCACGGGAAACCACAACAGCACCCTCAGGGCACAACTGAAAATTTTACGCTTTGCCGAAGGTTTAGTTCGTGCGCTACAGTGGTCCTGCTGGTTATTTTGGTGGATTAGCCATTTGAAATGAATCGCACCTCACCTGGAAGGCAGACGACGGCAGAAGCGGTGGAGACAGTCGAGACGGACGGTTTCCAGCAGCCTTCAATCTGTACAGGAAGCTACAGAAACACTGATTTATTCAAATGTTTTCCAATGCATATGTGAGTTTGTGTACAGTCTCATAATAGTTCTAGTTAAGACAGTGCGGCCTGTTATAATACTTTACAGGCAATCCGTGATCTCTGTTCATGGTTCAACCTCCATTTTACATGAATTCTTATGTAAATCCCCACTGTTTCTAAATCAGGAGACCAAACCTGTCCCTCTCAAACTACATAAATAAAGTAAAAACACTGATAAAGAGTCAAATATAGATAAAACAAATACAGGACAATTGCTTTTACTACCAATCAGTCAAAAAAAAATTAGATAGTCAGGGCTTAAACACCTGTACAGATGTCATTTTTTACAATCCTCACATCCTTGCATGATGTTTTGGTGTGGCAAAATACTTGTTGAATTAAAGCCGCAAGCGGCGATGGACAGGTCCTCGCCCTACGCTTGTCGGCCTTCGCGCACGGCGGGACTGTGATCC